TCTCTTTAGTGCAGCTGTCTTATTATTCCCTGTCAAAGTTCTTAAGCTTTTTCTTTTCCACGACAATACACGTTTGTATACCTCGGAAAATATCTTTCTTTTCTTTTCTTTCCTTTCCTTTATTTCTTTCTTATTCTCATGCACCATATATATATATATATATCTGCACACAAAATGCGTTTCAGATTTCGATGGGTATTGTGCGTCAAAGCGAAGAGAGTTCCAGTTATTTTGACGGATAGCGTACAACCCCTAGTCGATTGTCTTCGAAGATCAACAGAAGAATAGCTGTCTAGGAACGTAGAATAGAAATGAAAGGAAAATAGAAAAAAAAAAAAAAGAAAAAGAAAGATTCTTTTCTTTAACAAATAACACTAATCTTACATTTCCGGATTTATTTTGTGGTACGTTGCATGAATTTAAAATAAGAAACAAATATATTTTTCAAGAAAACGTTCTTTGAAATTATTCTCAAATAAAATATATTAATAATATGAATAATTGATATTGTTCGTTAAATAACAAAATTATTATATTTAATATTTAATAATTATTTAATTTTAACCTCTTAGGCACTACACGCCACTATAGTGACTTTCACGGATAACCTTTTTGAAAATATAGTATATTTAATTTTATTATTAATAATTAAAGTAAGAGTAGTCAAAATTAAAGTATATATGTGTATCATTTCTTTAAAAACAATTATAATTTAATCATCAAAAACTAAATTTCAATGTATTCTCGTAGAGAATAACATTTTTCATCGTCACACATTGTAGTTGTATCCGTTTACATGTAATTCTCGTTTAATCCTGTTGTACAGAGAAACCATTCGTGCTCTTAAAAGGTTAATACAAAATTATTATATTTATTATTTTATTTATATATTTAAATAAAACAATTATTAATTTCCACTTACTTGTTAGTGTTCTGCCGAATATATGAGTTCGTTCGATGATAATAATAAGATCGTTTGATAAGATGAAATAAATTAGGACAATCAATTATAAAGCTACACACATTATCTATTATTTTGCAGGATTAAATTTAACGTTTATTTTTTACTTTCTTACTTACAGTACAATATTTATAGATTACTTTTGCCGCTCGTAATGTAATACTCCAATAATCAGTAAAGTTTATGATTTATCGTAACGATACAAATATAAAGGTTATACATCGTACAGCGGGAAGGGTATTTAACCCTCTGACCATCAAAGTAATTTTTCATTCTGATCATGACCAACTTTATAGGCCTTTCAATACGTTGCGAAAACAAAAGCGTACCAAAAATAAAAGTGTACCGTAATCAAATTTTCAAATCATTACTCTAACCTATCTGTTTATCTATTAATGATGATTATTACTATTATGCCAGAACATGATCAATGTGGTTACGTATATTTTTCCATCCGGGAAATCCAGAGGTTTTTTTAATGAATATTTTTGCATTTAAAATACGTTCTCTCGACGATAAGATTATTTTCCGATCTCAAAGTTAATTACCCTAATTACGTTATAGTTGCTTTCCTGGTGTAAACTTTTGAGTCCTGATCGTTGATTTGAAAATATTCTCTTTACCGATTTTAGCGTTAAAATCCTGCACGACTTAGTTTCATGTTTCATCCTCTCGGTAATTGATCCACGATGCACTCAACCCGTTTTTAATTTCATCCTCTTTATCTTTCGTGTGCACATTTATTATCGCGATTCTTGTACCACCAATCCCTGCAATACTATCCTAATCTTTCATTTATGAACCTTAATGTTTTTTACCGCGGATAATATTTTCTTTCTGATAGTAAACCTGAAGTTGAAACTATGGATCTCTGATCTTCCATATTAAAACGTTTATGCCCCTTCTGCATTGCCCTGAACCTTCCCCGGCCCATCTGGTTTCTTGCAGTGCTATGAGTACTGTCCCTTATTTCTCCATTTTCCCTCAAACATCGCCTAAAACGCTTAAGGTCTGAACAGGCTTTTCACCTTCTACGTATCAACTTTGTAATCTCTTTGAAACGATTTTACCAGATATGAGTTCTTTCTAAAGTAGTCCCCACCCGAAGATCCAAACGGGGGACTAGTTTACCTCCGGAATCTGTTTATATGATTATGAATTAAAATAAAAATAATATTTAGATTTGTTGTAATAACATCATTAATTTAAAAATATTCAATTAATTAATAAAGCAAAAATTGATGATTGTGATCTGTGTGATCACAATTGTTGGTTGTATTACAATGATTTCTGAAACAAGTGATATAGAAAGGGGGGACACATTGACAAACTAACACACTAATACTATTATATTAACACGTTCGCGGATAATAAAAATTTCATTTAGATTGGTCATTACTTGGAAGTGTATAATAATTACAAAAATTAAAGTTTATATATATATATGTATATAACAGTAAATAAATATAATTAAATCTTAAACTTAAATGATATAACATTTTACGTCTGCGAACGTCTTAATCAACGCTTAACATTTCAATTTAATAGGCTGTGTATCCCCACTATCATTTAACACACATCATTAACATTCATGAAAACTTTGATGATCAGAGGGTTAATTGGGTGATTTCGCCTAACTTTCGACAATGTTTTTTTTTTTTTATTTTTTTTTTTTTAATCCACGTATATTATTCTCTCCTATCTTCTATCTCCCTCAAAATTGAAATGTTTTCGATGAGACAAGATGGACGAAGATACACGTGGTATCAAAATAATGCAATTAGTTCTAAAACGATCATTTTTATTTTTTATTTTTAATAGGATTCGTGGAAAAAAAGTTGAATCTCGTTGGACTGACCAGACCCAGGATTAAAACTTAAGATTCTTTTCCAAGTTTTATCCATTTAAGTTATCCTAGGCCCTTTTCTTTTTTAAGTCAACCTTATCACGAATACCTAATTTACATTTGGCATGGAATTGTAGATCTCACATTTTTATATTCATTGAATATTTCATATTCAATCTAAAAAACTGACGTTCATATTTGTGCCCATAATTATGAATGTTGTTTAAGTCATATAATATCTCATGTGTTTCGAGATATTTCAAGTGAAATTATGTTTTAACATTAAATTAAATTCTGTGTAATATTGATATAACAAACATTATCTATAACAAATTCATTTTTAACGATGTCGTCAAAATTACATTCAAATTTCTTCTTTATTCTCTTCTTCTTCCTCTTGATAGGACTACGTCATGTTTCACATAGTTGAATCTTCTTTCCACAGGGAATGTTTTGTTCTTGCGATCTTGTTATCCAGCTTTCTTTTTTGGTGGTTTTCTCAGTGGTCTTGTTGTCCCAAATTTTCCTGATTTCAATCATAAATCCTAATGATCACTCCTTGATATTTAAATCGTGCACTGTGTTCTTGTTTCTGCCGCATTGGTGTCATTATCAGTCTGACGCAAGACATTCCAATTGATTTATTTAGTTTAATATTAATGTTGTGTTTAAGATAACTGATAAATTCATTTTTCTTTTTGGTCTTCTTTTGTTTTTGTTTTTCTTTAAATTTAGACTTAGACCACTTTCATAATTATAAGCACATTTGTAATTATATCATGATTACAATTTTGTTTCAAATCTAATTTGCTTGTAGAGAATAAACTAAAAAGAAGAAATGTAATGATATTTAAAGGATAATACAATCGCAGAATTCATTTATAATAAAAAAAAAAAAAAAAACAAAAAAAAAGGAAAAAAAAAATAAATTAAAATATATAAAATCTAATTTTAACAAAAATTTCTTATCATTGTATTACTCTAATATAGGTATGTATGACTTTAATCTAAAAAAGATAGATGCAAAGAATTTTAAGAAGAAGATGAAGAAGAAGTAGAAATAGAAGAAAAAGAAAACAAAAAATTACAGTCATAGTTTAAAAAGAAAAAGGCGATTTTTAAAGACCCGATCGAAGGGCAGAAGAGTGAAATTTTCCGAGCGTCTTCGTACTGACGTGAGAAAGTTTACTCTTTCTTGCTAAATTATTTACACAAGGGAGTTTATTTACAAATCCTTCATAATATATCATCAAATATATATATATTCGGATCTTCTATGGTGGTTCGAGCTAACTTATATAGTTGTCAAAAATTGTCATCTCCCTTTAATGACAGCTTAAACCACCCGACGACTTTTTCTTTCTTTATTTATTTTTTATTTTTTTTATTTTTCTTCATTTATTTATGTATACCTAATATTTTTTTTTTTTTACTGATCTTCGTCTAATCGACGAATATGAATATTCAAATATTCACTTTCTCTCATTCTCTCTCTCTCTCTCTCTCTCTATCTTTTTCTCTGTTTCTATTTTTTCTCTCTCTCTCTCTCTTTCTCTCCTTTCTAAATAAATACATAAACGACAGCGATTCGTTGGTTCGTTATTTGTTATTATTTTTACTTTTCTGGGCACTTTCTAACCACGAATCCGTAAATTAAAAAAAAAAAAGAAAAAAAAAGAATAAAATGTATTAATTACATATATAGACAAGTTTTATTAAATATATAATATTATTTAATATAATAATATTCAATAAATAATAATATTTTATTCTTTTTAGGTCAAAATTTCTTTAAAGATCAGGGTGATTTGGAAATCATTAATTGCAGAGCAATGAAATCTAAAGAATGTGTTGTGATCTCCAGCTCCCTTCGTTTTTTTTTTCTGCGTCGAGACAAATAAACAAATTTTATGTTCAAGATCGCATTGTCAATGATAGATAAAAATTTTACAAGTATAATTAAATAATATACTTGTCTATAATAATTAATTTACAGTATAACAACCACAAAATTTGTAAAATCATCCCATAATGATTGTCATAAAAATTAAAAGAGATCAAAATTATATACAGTAACCTAAAAAAAAAAAAATAAAAAAACATAAAATAAAGGAAAACAAATAACAACAAAAAAAAAACAAAACAAAAAAAATTAGAAAAAAAAGAAAAAAATAATTCAAATATTTTTGGACACGTGGTGAAAATCTTATAAGATTCACGTTTACCTTAAGTTAATTGAATTTTGTTGTAAATTTTTTATCGTGAATCACGTTTACCCTGATTCGAGCTACAAACTCGTTGTATTCAGGTAGATTGCTCTTCAAAAATCGATCAGAGCTATGCTCTATCGGGTCAGAAGATGACAGTGAGTGGACGCCGGAATGAGTCGTTTCCTGGTGCTGGTGTCGTTTGATAGGTACCGTATTGACCCATCTGTGGTCCTAGAAGACCACTTGCTTGGACCGGACCCGGATAATAAGTCGATAAACTGGCACCAGGACTCGCTGCTGATGACGTTGACGTTGAGCTACCACTGGAGGATCCTTGTTCCGTTCTCTCGTGTTGTTTATTAATATCCGGTGAATCCGCAGCTGGTGACCTTGTCGAACCACCCCCAGCACCACCACCCCCACCCCCACTTCCACCACTACCACCACCACCAGCACCACCACCACCACCACCACCAGTTACGCTACCAGGACTTGATTCCTCGTATAGTTTGTTAGGTTCGTAACTTGGTCTAGTGTAATCGGATATCGATGGTTTTGGGTCAATGTAAATCTTCGATTGCTCAAAATATGCCTTCGCCGAATCCAGGTAGCTACGGTCGAGGTATTTTGGACTTGAATCGAGATACTTCGCCTCGGAGTACATGCCCAATGTGCTTGGTGGCATGTATGGTCCACGATATTTGTCAGCCTCGATCGAATATTTCATCGCGTCCATAGAACTGACAACCTGTTAACAAACAATTATTGTGTTAATTAATTATTGTGTTAATTAATTATTTTCTATTTTATAAAAAAATAACAAGCAATTACATATACATGAATATAATTCAATTCACTTTAACTTAGGTGTATCCATTAGTGTGAAATTTTTTAAAATTCAGTTTTATTATATCTGCAATAGAGATACATTTTTTTGGACTCTGGGAAATTGAAAATAATTCGCTTTATTTTCAATTTTTTGATCTAATATACATCATACAAAAATTGTATAAAAAATTCCTAAACATTGCCTTTTTTTTTTTTTTAAGCATTCACACTAATGGCAAGTCATTTAAAAAATCTAAGAAGAAAGATTTGCCAATGAATTGGCTTATTCGTGCGTGAGGACGAACTCACTAATGGATATAAATTTTCTAACGATGCTGTACGACTGAGTAGTATTTCTGCGACAATGATGGTACCATCTCTTTCTATCATTCATTCTTTCTTTCCTATCTGTCTATCCATCTATCTGTCCCTTTCTCTCATTGAATCGTTCCAACGACCGACTGCCAAATAAAGGAGACGAAAGAAGAAAAAAAAAAAAAGAAAGGAAAGAAAGGAAACGAATGTGCGTATTCCCGATTCTATAATTCGTGGACGAAGGATCGCGAAGGATTCCCTTTGTCGGATCGTTAAGCGGCTTTGTCCGGATGATTTACATGCAGTCTTAGTCTCGGTTCGCGTTCCTCTCACACACAAACCTCTTCCCTCTCTCCCCGGACCCCTACCAACACTTCCTTCTTTCGTTCTTTTCTACTCCCAATGGATTACACCTCGGTTCCAACAGTTCAAATCCGAACTAAGAAAACCCGAAAGAAACTCCTTTTGCTACCGGTTCTTTCTAATGTTTCTAAATATGTGTGTTACCCCACTACTGAAAAGAAATTTCTCTTCAAACAACTTCTTCAATATTCTGCTATCATCGTATTTCTTAATCTTAAGAAATTGAGATTGAATAACAAATTTCTTATCTATCGCGTTAACCCCGTGTTATCATTTGTCTCTGAGGGTTTTCATTTCTTCGTGTATACGAAGACAGTATTTATGAAGAATGGGTTTCTTTTGTGAATGAAAAACAGAGAAAGAGAAAGAAAAAGAGACAAGTATGGTAGGGATGTCATTGTATATTTTTTTAAAGGTGACATACCGTGGCCGACGAAGAGCGATGGCGACGAATGCAAGATAATTAAGTCTTCCTTCTAGTAGTACTACGAAGGAAGAAGAAGAAGAAGAAAGAGAAAAAGAAATAGAAATAAAGAAGAAAAAAAAACAAATCAAGAAACGTCCTCCTCCATCTTATCCTCGAGTTCTAACATTGAAGATGAACACGAAGAAGAAGAAGAAGAAAAGGATGAAGAAGAAGAAGAAGAAGAAGAAGAAGAAGAAAGAGAAAAAGAGATAGAAATAACAAAAAATATAAAGGAAAGAAGAAAAAACAAATGAAGAAACGTTCTCCTTCATCTTCTCATCGAGTTCTGACACTGAAGATGAACACGAAGAAGAAGAAGAAGAAAAGGATGAAGAAGAACAGGATGAAGAAGAACAGGATGAAGAAGAAGATGAAAAAAGAGAAAAAGAGAGAAATAAAAAAGAAAATAAAGGAAAGAAGAAAAAAACAAATGAAGAAACCTCCTCCTTCATCTTCTCTATGAGTTCAGCATTGAAAACGAATATGAAGATGAAGAAGAAGATGAAGAAGAAGATGAAGAAGAAGAAGAAGATGAAGAAGAAGAAAAGGAAGAGAATGTTGGGAAGAAGAAACGATGATAGCAGTCACCTTGGAATTCTTCGAACGTGCTCGACGCATTTTGCCAATAATAGCCGCTTGTATCGCGGCATAGCGTCGTTCCAGACGCGTCGGCCATTCAGCCGTTGAATGCAGAAATAACTAGCTATCTGTTTGTCTCCCGTAGCCAGCTGCGGAAATTCATACACAGACCACGGTCTCCGGTTTCTGTTTGCGAAGCCACCCTGGGGCCTCTTTGTTAACGCACGAATGAAGCGTACGTACCTGCACTGTCCTCCTCCTACTCCACCACCTCCATCACCACCACCATCACCATCACTTCCTATTCGAACTCTCCTTTTTCCTAGATATCCACCAATTTTTCTCTCTAACAATCCTGCTATTCAACTTTTATCCAAATAGCGTTAGGGTTGCGTCAAGTTTTTAGAAACAAGAAGGGCAAACTCTAGCCTAGTTTACTAAAAAGGGGGCAAATTCTGATTATAATATTATGCTTTTCAAACAGTTATTCTGACTGCTCCTATTTTACGCGATAGTTCATAAGATTATCGGGAGGTTTTTTAGATGGTCCACGCAACCCAGACGGGTTGAATCCTACACTATCCAGGTACCGGGCCTATGGTGTCTATGAAGGTTTTTCCTTCTGACGAAACAAAAAAAAGGATTGCATAAGTGTTTGAAGTTTCATCAAGTCTATGCATGTTGTCTAACGAGTTGAATATTTTTGTCATCTCTTCTCCCCCTTGTTTTCTTTATTTTTGTTTTATTTTATTTTATTTTATTTTATTTCTTCATAGACGATCAAACGAAAAAAAGAAAGTTTCTTTAAAGTAATAATCTCATCTCGTCATATTGAATTAAACGAGTTATTCTGCCACGTGTCTATCTTTCGTTTAACCTTTTTCTTTTTTTTTTTTTTTAATACTATCTCTCTCTCTCTCATCGCCAATTAGTATCAAGACAAGATTCTCTCTCCGTTTATCCTCGAATCCGATACAAGAAACGTGTCTACTAAGTCGTTATAATCGTCTCTGTCATTCTGTTCTATAAAAATTCGATTTATGTTTTATATTATAATGCGATTATACTGCGAACGGATTTATTAGATTAACGTTTCTACGATTGCATATATATTCGATTTAAAACGTTGAACAATTTTGTAAGATTATTATTATTATTATTATTATTATTATTATTATTATTATTATTATTATTATTATTATTATTGATGGAATTGAAAGAAAAAAAAAAANGATGGAATTGAAAGAAAAAAAAAAAAAAAGAAACAAACAAACAAAAAAATGATCTTCCTCGTTTATCTCCCTTTTCAGATAAAATATTGGACTTGTCAATAATAGACTCTTTGACAAAAAACCTTTTTCTACGATATGAAAACGAGAATCGTTAGTCGTAAAAATGCTATAGCAATATTTTCCTTCACGAAATAGGGGAGAAGAGAGAAGCAAACTGGTGGGTGGTCTTCTTATTTTCGTGGGTATCGCGATAATAGGTGTTTGTGCGAATGTCGTGCACCCCCTTATAGAGGGATCACGACAAATCGACTTGCCGATGTCACTCCCGCCGAATCGTTTCCATTCACTAATTGTCCTTACTTTTGTATCCCGTCGAACATACAAAGAATCGAAAGATACCGTCCTTTCGACTCATTCCTATTGTCCAAACATGTCTCTCAATTTCTACGGGTTCTTTTTTCTTTTCTTTTTTTTTTCTATATATTATGTCAAAACGTAATATTAAAACWTTTAGAAATACGATTAATTTATGACCTATATTTTATCTACGATTTATCTACCGATTAGGGTGAACAAAAGCTCGTAAGCTTATTTTAAAATAAATGTAGTAGTCGTATCAACCAAGTTATGTTGATAAATACCTAGGAGTGATCATCACAAGTGACAGAAACCTAGAAGAGGAACAAACAACTAAAGCTTGTATAATCTCTGGATACCATATGAGATATCATATGGAGAAACAAACATATGTGAACATCAAAAGTAAAATAGGAATATACAAAACTTGCATCAGACCAATAGTGATCCATGAGACAAGGGCAGAGTCCACGATAACACAGCGTACCTGAGAACTAACAGAAATGGAGATGTTATGAACAATAACAGGGTACTCACTAAAAGACACAAGGAGAAACAAAGGTAATAAGAAAGGAATGTGAGATACAAAACGTTGTAAGATGGATAAAAAGGAAAAGAAGAGATTGGAGAGATCATGTAGATAGAATGGATGACAATAGACTAGTGGTAGAAACTAGAAAAAGTGGGAACAAATATATAAACTTGGAGAATAATGTTAAGTTAAAATATGAAAGGTGTCTTTTCACACCTTTCATATTTTATAATATAAATAGTGTTATAGTGTACAATAAGGTGAAGGTATCAGTCATTGACCATGTACCAAAATTTGAACACTTCTCGTCAATTAACAGAATCATATCATTCTGATTGTTTCTAGAAGTTGACATACATGGTCAATTACTAATACAAATTAATCAAATTTATGTAATATCTTGACGCATTGGGACCACTTACTATTCAATAAAAATGTAAAAAGTTATCACTATTGAAGATAAACATTTGTCTTAACTGGTCAACTACTGATGCCTTTACCTTAATGTTAGAAATACGAAAGATGGACTATTTTTGTTTTGTTTTGTTTCAGTGTAATGCAATATTTTATTTACTATTTAATTTAAGCAATTTATGATATAAAAAAAGTTGTTAACATTGTATAAAAAAATTCAAATAAATTTTGAAACTTGCTTTTCTTTTTTCAATTAACACTTTGACTTTACATTGGTTCGTGTATAATTTGGTTATAATGATCATTGTCAGCTATGATAAATTTTGTCTCTCATGTAAATATGTATATAAAATCTAAAAATGATATTTATGTATTTTTATACATCATTTAACATATAATCTATAACAAATATTGCACACCAATGATATGCAACATTAAATATTAAACCTGACAATGATCAATAAAAATACAGTCATTTCTCGAAACGACTATATATCGAGGACAACTTGTTAACTAGACTTGGTCTTCAAGGTTGACCTTAAAAAATATTATTGTTACACATCATTGGATTAGTCCGTTTGCCATTATTAACAAATTTGTAACAAAATATAAAATTTTATATAAAACAATAAAATAAAATTCTAAATTTCAGAGCTACTTCCATATAAGAAAAAAGAACTAACATTATATAAACATTTTTTCATATAACTTTTGTTATACAAACTTTGTTACTACTATAATAAATTTGGTGCTATTTACTTGGCAAAAGTTAGTTCATTAACTATAACAATATAGTATATATGAAGTATTCTTCGTCAAATCGATTACTTTTGATCTCGACCCCTTTCATTTCTTTGTAATCTTTTTCCTACTTATTTATAAATTTTTAAACTAAGTATTTCTTAAGTTTATTATTTTTTCGCAATTTAATTATGTTTTTGTACAATAATAAACCTAATAAAATATATCTATATATAGATATATGTACAAATATATATATATATATATATAAATATATATTTTTAATTAATTCGTTAGTTTAATTATCTATCATTTAAAATTGAAATAACAAAATTTTTGTTCAATTATCGTAATTAATATAATTAACAACAACTAACAGAGCTTTTATGAGATATCATAATTCTCATTTTGACAGATCAACTACTTCCTTTAGCGTTTTGGATTATCATATAGTATTCATTTTTCGTTTCCAATGGTTAAATGTTGAAAAAAAGGTTCTATATGGTGCCATTGAAGCCATTCATTACACGTGATGGATCGTTTTGCTTTGTTCTCTTCGGTCGGATTATGGGAGGTTCAAAATACCTGTTCTGCTTATTTTTCTAATCTGTTGCAAATATTCTTGGATGGTAGATCAAGGTTGATTAAAGTTGTTTGATCGTTTCTTCGATTGTCTAACATGAATTTGCTTTTCACTTCTGTTCTTATTATGTTGTTTCTTAATATTCTTGCTTTTCTTGATGGATAGGAGTCTCAAACGGATCAAAAATTACCCGATCTAAACTTAGAATACCATCTTTGGCAATTATGAACGTCTAATTCATTTGAATAAACATGGCAAATGTTTCTGATCGCAGAATTGTTGCTTTACTACCATTGCAAAAACTCAAAAAGTGCACAATGCTGAGAATATACTTTAATGGTATTTCGATTGTCATTTTATCTTAAATTGTACAAAAAAAATCATTCAATATTTACAGGGTATATAGGGTACATTGTATTGGCTATGATTATGTTACTTTAATAAAACTTTGACTTTCAAAAAAATATATGTTTAGTAGTATACAGTTAAATGCAATAAAATCCTATTGTTATGTTGAAAAATGACATATGTTTTATAATTACGTTTATTATTATTCGAAAAATGGAATGACTTGAAAAATGACATATTTTTCTTATTGACAAACATGCTATTTCATTTGATTAATAGCTAAAAAACTATCAATTAAGATAAAGCAACATTTTGAATATGATAAATATGAAGAATATGAAGCTTTTTTTTTTATATTATAATTACGTAACAAGTTAATCATGTTTCTAACAAAAACAAAAATGTTTATATCTCAGAAACGGTTGACTTTTCAATCTATGGTTACTAAAGTTTTTTTACTCACATCAGTACAATGTATCCTGTATATTTTATAAATATTAAATGATTTGTTTTAGAGCACCATGTAGATATTATTATAGACACTCGAAACACGTGAGTTTTATAATAAATAGTTTACACAGTAAGCCGAGGCTTTCTAAAAATTTGTGCAAAAAAAAATATTAATTAATTATTTAAAAATAAACTTTATTTTTATTATGAATGCAGTTTAATTTAATTTAATGCAATTGCGGATATGCTGTTAGAATTTTATAGTTTTGAAATGATTCAAATTTGATAGAAGCAACACTGGATCCGTCCAAGGGCACAGGATTAATCCACGGATACGCGACGATATATCTACGTTGGCACTTTTTCGACAAAAAGATAATAATTCTCGTACTAAATGAATTTACATTGACAATAACGATTTTTTTTTTTACACGTTCATCCTTCATTTTTATATTTAACTCATGGCCTCAGGTTCAGGTACAGATTTACGATCTGCGATTGACAATTATGATTTGCCAAAAGGATTGCATTTCTATAAAAATTGTTATGTGCCACTTGTTCTATAGATTTTAAAACACCTTTAACTGACCTTTAACAATAAGTATCTATCTAATATTTTCATCTTCTTCTTCTTCTTCATCGTCATCTTCTTCTTCAACTTCATCTTCATCTTCTTCTTCTTCTTCTTCTTCTTCATCGTCATCTTGTTAGGACTTCATACCGTGAGACTAATATTTTACAGGTACAGAGATGCACACTTTTAAGAAATTATTTGTAATGTACATGTATACACATTATCTAATCTCTAAAAATAGATTCGTATATAATAGTATTTGCCTATTCCTATCAAGAATCTACTATTAATAAAATAGTTTTATTTAAAATGGACATACATACACATACTCTCTCTCTCTCTCTCTTTCTCTTGTTTTTTCACATCACACTAACAGAAAAACATTCTTCTTATTTATCTTCTTCTTTTTCTCTTTAAATATCTTTAACTAAGAGAATAAATTATTCCATTATTCTGAAAACAGACATTGAAATTTATCCTAAAATTGCCTACTTAAACCTAATTAAGGGAATAATTAGTGTAGTGTACATTAGTGTACATATTCTATACCAATCGTTTCTTGTCTTCCTACTTATTTTCATATAACGTATTTGGTATTATATAATTTGTCGACAAAGTACAGATGTTATAATATTTCATTACATTCATTAATTAATATCATTAAAATGAAATTCTGCCTAACGTAATATATATCTTCAGCTTCTCCATTGATATTGGAACGAATAATATTGCTAAAGACCTAAATGTCTAGTTTTTGTCAGCTTTCAATAAAAATAATTTCCTAATACATACACGAGACAACAATCAAAAAGCCTACTTATAATTTGCTAAGAATGCATTCATCGGTGGCTTGAGTTTGACGCACATATGCGTCCATAGCAACCAAAGAGCTAATGCAATTTGAACATTACCTATATTAATATAAATTAGAATATGAATGCTGAATAGAAGATACTAATGAACAATTAAATATAATATTACTAGAATATGCTGTTGAACAATTAAGAAAATGTTGTCTTATATATCACTTATTGTATCTCGTTTTCCGTTATTTGTTTTTCTTCAGGCGTGACAGTCAAAGTGTTAATCTGTTAGCATTACAGTAAGTGTAAATTTCTTATTGTATAAAAAAAAGTATAAAAAAGTATTAACACATCTTGCACGGTTTATTTTACCGCCAAAGTCTTACTGTGCGGCGGGGCGATTTTATACAATTCAGAAGCAAAATTCTTTCTGTATAAAATAGCTGTAGTTTTTAAATTTTATTAGATTTTCTTTTTAACATGCAACAATCCTTTAAAAACGACTTTAGTCGTTATCCGCGCAAGATGTGTTAAAAATGTATAAAAGTGATGAAAACAAAAAACATAAAATCTACAATAAAATTATTAGAATTAATTTCTTTTCAAAATTGCCCGTTCGTTTCTTCATCTTTCAAGATTTCTTTGCAGTTCCATTCAAACAGCACCTAGTATCCTAGTAATAGTTTTCAAATCTTTCTTCTTAGAATTATCCAGATAACAGTAAACATTAATTAGTACTAATTTTGTACTAATTGTCTTCTACTTTAAAAAGTGAATTGAATTATTTTAGGATGTTGAAGAGTCGGAGACTGAATTGTTGATTGTTAGTGTTAAAGGGTTGGAGCGTTAGTCGGTTGGTGGTGTATTAATGTTGCTTAGTCTTTATAAAATGGTGGTGTATACATTTTCGTTTGTTGATGTTAAATTGTTGGAGTCTGAAATGTTGGTTGTTGGTGTTGAAGGGTTGGAGTATGAAGCGTTGGTTGATGGTGTTGAAGAGTCGGAGTATGAAAAGTTGGTTATTGGTGTTGAAGGGTTGGAGTATGAAGCGTTGTTTGTTGGTGTTGAAGGGTTGGAGTATGAAGCGTTGGTTGTTGATGTATGAATGTTGTTTAGTCCTGATAAAATGGTGGAAATTACAGTATCGTTTGGTGGTGGTGAAGTGTTGGAGTATGAAGTGTCGTTTGGTGGTGGTGAAGTGTTGGAGTATGAAGTGTTGGTTGTTAGTGTTGAAGGGTTGGAGGATGAAGCGTTGGTTGTTGGTGGTGAAGTGTTGGAGTCTGAAATGTTGGGTGATGGTGTTGAAGGGTTGGAGCATAAAGCGTTGGATGTTGGTGTTGGAGGATTGGAGTATGAAGTGTTGGTTTTTGGTGTTAAATGGTTGGAGGATGAAGCGTTGGTTGTTGGTCTTGAAATGTAGGAGTATAAAACGTTGGTTGATGGTGGTGAAGTGTTGGAGCATGAAACGTTGGTTGTTGGTGGTAAAGTATTGGAGTATAAAGCGTTGGTTGTTGGTCTTGAAATGTAGGAGTATAAAACGTTGGTTGATGGTGGTGAAGTGTTGTAGCATGAAGCGTTGGTTGTTGGTGGTAAAGCATTGGAGTATGAAGTGTTGGTTGTTGGTGTTGAAGGGTGGGAGGATGAAGCGTTGGTTGTTGGTCTTGAAATGTAGGAGAATAAAACGTTGGTTGTTGGTGGTAAAGTATTGGAATATGAAGTGTTCGAGTATGCTAGTGGCAAAGTGTTGGAGTATGAAATGTTGGTTGTTGGTGCTAAATTGTTTTGATGTAAAGTGTTAGAGTATGAAGTACTGGGGTGTGGTGGGTGTGGAGGGTGTGAAGTGTTGGGGTATTGATGGGGGACCATATCGTTTACAGGATAATGAGTATAAGGATGATAGTGTGGAGAATTTACTTGTCCAGGTGCACCAAGTCCAGACATTGCCGACTGCTGAGCTGCTGCTGCGGCCGCAGCAGCCATACTTGCAGAAATACTTCCGTAAGCTGCTGCTGGGTTGTAGTACGGCGCCATTCCAGCTTGTCCCATACTACCTGCCATACCTATAACATTAATGATTTAATTAAATTTTTTTTTCATAATCAAATATATATATTATCATTTAGTTTATTTTTATTAAATCTCTTTGGTACGACTGAATATTGCGCTGGACTGTAGTTCTGTAGGGGTAGCGGGGAAGGGCAGGGTTCAAGGAGAATTACGTATAAACGATAAATCTACTATTATGACGAACAATAACTGTTCCCTAATGAAGTTTTTCATGATTAAATTATAATTTCTCTTTTGAGAAAAATTGTTTTATTAATTACTTTTGAAATGATACACATATACTTTAACTTAACAGGGGATGTGGTCAGAAGTACCCACTTACGATTAAACTTAAAAAAAAATATTTTTCACATGAATGTAAGATTTTAAAATGCTTTCTAGTTGTGCTACGACTTCGAACTGTACGCAACGGTGAGTTTAAAAAAATGAAAACTAAGCCTTAAGTTCAAGATGCATTTCTTATTTTAGATCTGTTACACTGTAGTTCTTGTCTTATCTCATTTAGACTAACAATAGGATTAAAACATATTCATCTAATCTTTATTTTAACATTCTTAATTCAACCGTCTATTCTAATATATTTTTCTACATATTTTTATTTCAACCTTTTTTACATCATGTATAACTTAAAGGACACACATACACAAAACTCACGTACTCTCTTTTTCTTCAGAAAAGCATACTTTTATATTCTTCATAACAACAGTTGATAATATTTCTTATACTTTTACCTAAACAGAAAAACATCTTCGCTTATCTTAGAATATTTATTTACACTTATAGGAAGGTCGTTTTTATCTTTTCTAAAACCATGTATTATATTTTCTCTTAATATGTGAGAAAATGTATTTAGTCTATTCTTAAAATAGCTAGCTACTTGAAAAACTAAGTAGAAATAAACCATTGGCGTACATATCAAATGTAGGTATGATCCAAATAAATGTATTTCATATTTTAACAAAAATTACAATATAATATTTTTTGTTTTGGATTTGTACAGACATTTATTATTATTAATAAAAATTAAATTGTTTATATAGATGATTAATTTATTAAGTAAATTTATTGCATCATGCCTACGTTAGATATATACGTCAATGGTTTTTTTTTTCTAGTTAGTTTTAAGTAATTCTTTTCAAAATAGAATAAATACGTTTCTCACATAGACAAAAGAAAATAGATGGTTTCAAGAAAAGGTAAAAACAATCTTCTTATAAATATAAATAGATATTCTAGGATAAACGAAGATGTTTTTTTGTTAGGTAAAAGTATAAGAGATGTTATCCTTTGTTGTTATGAAGAATATAGAAGTATGTATCTAAAGAAATGAGAGAGTAGGTGAGTTTTGTGTGTGTATGTGTGCTTTAAAGTATACGTGATTTCAAAAATATCGATATAAATGTGTTGAAATAAAGATGTTGGAATAAACAGTCTGAAAATTCCCATACTTTTTGTACTAGCTCTAAGGTCTTATACAACATAGTTTCACACAACACGGTTTCACACAACATAATTTCACACAATACTTTTAATCATTCATTGAAGATAATTACTGTAAATTTAATTGATGAGTAAAAAACACATCAATTTTTACACATACGTAAACTTCAAAATGTATAAAGCAAAACTTAAAAGTACGAACACTTCTATTTCCATATTGTCTTTCAGTTTCTTAACAGAAACTGATGTAAATATCGTATGATTTTGAGTTTATTTCAAAAGATTTCAAAATCCGAATTCAAAAGATTCAGATTCGTGTTCTGATTCGGTTAACTCAACGATTCAATAAAATTGCATGTGAATCTTTTTCAAAATATATTTCGAATTCATGAACCTTCGTTTCTTACAATGATCAGGATTAAAATATTACCACCCTTACTTTTTTAGAGCAACCATGAGCAAACAAAACACGAATTTGAAAGATTTAGATTCGTGTTCTGATTCGGTCAATAAAATTGCATGTGAATCTTTTTAAAAATATATTTCGAATTCATGAAAATTATACAATAATGTTGATTGAGTAATAATGAAACGAATAAGAGAAATAAATGTAAGAATAATTAATTAGAAAGAACAAGTTTGTATAAAAGAAGAACCAGTAGGGATAATACATAAATCTGCCAAGAAGGAAATTATAATTTACGCGACAAAGCACCACTCATCATGCTTTCCTTAATGATATCAAGAAGGGCCGATGTTGGTGTTGGTGATGGGTTATGGTGTGATGGTAATGTTGATGGTTGTACAAGTGAGTAAGTTGAAGAAGGGTCCCGTAAATGTGAAAGAGAAAGAAGAAGTATAACCAAAGAAAAGGGGGAAGAGGAGAGAGAGAGAGAGAGAGAGAGAGAGAGAGAGAGAGAGGGGAATAAATCGTCGAATAATTCCCTTCGGCGCGTAAGGGCCCTCTATTTGTGCGCGTTCTCGTTCTGGAGTCGTGTCACGATTCATTGGTGGTAGCCACGCGAACGCATAAACATGTCCCTACGAATGCGTTATTTATCGAATTGTCTCAAGTTCCGTGCGAGTGTCCGGTGTACGAAGTTGTACAGAAAACTCGGGAACTTAAATGAACTTCCTACTTTCACGTCGAACTTAACTTTCATCTAAGATTTATGAGTTTTCTCTTATTTTTCAATGAAACTTTCAGAATATCATTAAAAATGGTATTAAATCAATTCGTTGTGTCCAAATTATTATTAAGTGTAAATTTATTTTGATTTACGTTAATGTTTGTTTGTTTGTTTGTTTTTTTTTTTTTTTAATTAAAATAAGTTAAATATAAGTTTAATTATGACAATGGACTATGTCATGAAATTGGAAGAATTTGATATTATAATATAAATTTATAATTGTTAGATTCTAGATGTTTATTTATGTTATATATAATAATAATAATAATATATTTATAATTATGTTATATTATATTATATTATATTATATTATAATATACATATATTATATATATATATATATATAGAATAATAATATATTTATTTATATAATATATTAATAACATAATTAAATAAATATATTATATTATACGATTATTTTGTAATGTATTATAATACAAATTACACAATATATTATAAGCACCTTTTGCATGTTTAATGGTGTATTATATTTGGCGAATTCTATAAAAAACGATACAAGCAGATTTTCTTGTACCTTTGAAGTAAATTTTAGTATTTAGATACTTGAATATATACAAAGTTATATAAAGTTAGATAGAGAGAGTATTATCTTCCATATCAGTTTGCTTGATACAAATAACAACAAATATGGCTTAAGATGCGATAAAATGCTAAACTATGGCAATTATCGTCGATTCGAAGCTACGATTTGCTTTTCGTTAGAATGGGGAAATATGTAGAAGTAGAAAATCTATGCACGTGTAAGTAACTGCATGAATATATTTGTGTGTGTGTGTGTTTCTTTGGTAAGATGAGAAAGGGTTAAGTCCCCGGGAGCAGAAAGAACATCTCAGAAATTTCAACTTTAAGCCGATAATTTATCCCAACCACCCACGCTCAACTCTTCACACGCGTGGCACCATTTCCACTGGTTATTCTCCTCCTACTTGAAAATGAAGAAGAAAGAATATAAGGATGAGTAGAAGAAGAAGAAAAAGAAGAAGAAGAAGGGAAAAGGTCGGAAAGAAGACGAGGAGTGAATTTCTCGCGAAACAGAAAGAGAAAGAAAAAATGAATATGAGAGAGAGATAGAGAGAGAGAGAGAGAGAGAGGATGAAAATAAGTGGAAGAAAGAAGAAAAGAGAAACGAAAGGTGGAAGGCTACGACCAATAAATCGTGGATTACCGATCACCCTTTTTGCCTTGTGGAAGTTCGCGTGGGCGGTATGGGGATAAATTCCAGCCTTAAAAGTTCCCCTAACATCTTCCCCTTCCTCCCATATCGCCCATTGCCGGAATTAATAATTTTCTTCGGCTGTTCCGCGAATAATATGCAGACCCGTATAACGCAGCCGTAAGAAGGGTGAAATCATGAATGAACGAATAAGAGAGAATAATATATCGAAAAGTCTAACTTTTCAATAGATTCAAAAAATATTGACTAACTTCAACCTGTTAAAATGTATCCTGTCGTATAAATAAAAATTCACTTTCACATCATTCGCTTCACAAATGCATCAAAAGATGTTTATAACCTCAAAAAGATAATATGAAAATTTGAATGGAAAAAATTGAAATAAAAGAAAAGAAATAATAATTAAAGAACACATATGGGGTTAGGTTGTATGAGAATATAATCCTCTCGAGGTTTTCTATCCCTCAACAAGACTACCCCATTCGTGATTCTCTTTCCCCTATTTCTTTAACCCATTACGCACCACAATACAAAAATAAACTTAAATTAATTGTATAATGATATTCATACTAATCAAATAGAACTATTTTTGTTATAATTGTTTGTTTTTGTTTTGTTTTATTAAAATATAAAATGTCACAAGCTTCCAGATAAAGGGGTGGGTTCTAGAGTGTGGCTAGCAATTTACACCCGGTAAAATAAAAATAATGGCTCCAAGAACTAACAAAATTGTTTATTTAGGCTGTTAAGTTATGAATAACAGGACGAAGTAATAAAAAAAGAAGAAGAAGAAGAAGAAAAAGAAGAAGAAGAAGAAAGCGTATAAATTCTTACATGCATCATACATAAGTGCATACGCCAGTTTTTTTTTTTTTTTTTTTCCTAATGAAATCGAACTCGTTGGAAAATTAATAACGATCTATATTTGTTTACTTTATGTTTTTTTTTTTAATTTCTTTTCAATGCGTGAACGTTTTCATCTCACGTAATTAATAATTATTGCTATTTGCATTGGCAAATATAAATAAAGGAAAAAAGAAAAAAAAAAAAAGAAGAAAAAAAAATAAATGAAGATAAAATCTTCCTATTCTTTCATTTTTATTCAAAATGATTGCCATCAACGAGTTGCAAATATTTGCCAGAGTTTTAATTCCATTAAAACATGCTTCCCTTTTCATTCCTAGCATATGTTTCGTAAAAGAACGTAGACAATGTCGCAATCGTGTTTCGAAGTAATTGCAAGCATTACGAAGCATCGGTAAAGTGCAGTCTTTGAGTTATTATCGAAACAAGTGGAATTATTGCATACGTCGATTCGACTGATCGTCGTCGTGTAAGATCAAATGAGGACGATCTTTAGAAATGTTCTTTTTTTAAATAGATAATTGCATTAATCGACGTCTATTGGAACATTCGAAATAATGTTATCACATTTTTAATATTATTTTCTTTATTCTTTTTACAAAAACAAAATTTACAAACCTAAAAAAAAAAAAGGAGATAAAAGAACAGAACACAATAATAACGATAAAACAAAAATTTAGAAAAAAAAAATTAATAAATAATATTTAATATATTAAAATATATATTTTTAATATTTAATATAATTTATCATATTATAATATA